GCCTTAACCTTCTTTGGTGGGAACCCTTCATGTAATTTTAAATATACCTATTAATCATGTTTTTTTAACAAATTCCCAACATTATTATCCCCGCTTTTCACTTCTCATTTTCTTTTTGATTATTTTTAATTAACTATTCACATAATATACATAGATTTCTACCAAATACTAACATCTAGAATCAATTTTAACACCTAACCTCTTACATATCTTGCGTCTGGCTCTCGAGTTCGCTTTATCAAATCACCTACTTCACCCAATCCATCTTATTCAACAAGATTGATAATATAAGCAGCTCATCTCAAATGAAAATATTCTTCTTTGTAAAGGCTAGATCTCCAAGCAACACATTTATCTTTCACATAATCAACATGAATATGTTGGAATTTTTTTAGATTTTCCAGGAGCAAGCATGCAAGATATTAATGATGTAATTATCCTATTAAATTGTTATAAAAATACTTAAATGATGCTATCCTATTATAAAGGGACATTAAATTGTTTTTCTAGCTAATATGCTTTAATTGATGTTATCAGGACTTCGATTTTGTTTTTCCGCTCATTCCTCTAGATATTATTGTCTTCTACTTATTGCCGGGGATGTGAAGTTAGCGTGATGGGGCCTTGACATATATATATTCTTCTTTTCTTTTCTTTTCTACACGATTAATTAAGTTCATTACATTGGGGCTTTTTGTAATTTTCAAAACTTTCCTCCCTTTTCCCACGTCGCCGATTTATTCTTTTTTTATTTTTTATGCCCTTCCATTTCTGACAGAAATTTGGAAGATTCAATTCCCTCTTAAGGTTTTTTTTTAAAAAAAAAAAAACAAAAAGGAAAAAACATCATTTTTATCAGTTCAGAATTACATCCAAATCTATATATTTAATCAATTAAGTCCTAATTATTTCTCAAATATGCTCTTTTGTCAATCTCCTTTAGTAGTTCAAGTTTGATTTGCATATTTTAAACCCTAAAACAGTATCGACTTGAAAACAATTTAATGTAAAGGTCAGTGTAATAAGCATATTCATGCTCTAAAAAGTAGAGAACTCGATAAAAAAAAAACATCAAGTGATTCGAAGAGTACGGAATGCAAAATTCTTCTTAATTAACAGGAAGCACTAATTTCTTCTGTGTTTTAGGCCGCATGCCTCCCCATGTTATTTTTTACTTAATTAGCAACTGAGAGCCGTATTGCTGGCTTCTCCTTTCTTAAATATTTAATCAATTAATTATATGTAATATTTATTTTTTTATATTTTAAAAAAATATTTCATATATTCATAAATAATATTAATTGTAAATTCTTGTAAAAGGTAGAATGAAATTTAAAACAAGTTTTAAATCTTATTTTGTAACATAGTATAAAAATAGGACAACATTGTAATTACTGCAGTAAAACATTATTATTTTTATTATTGGTATAATATTTTTTTCAAAATAAAATGTAAAGGAAAAACTAAAAAAAATTACAAATTAAATAATAAAGATAAAAAAAATGTTTATAAATAAATAGCCCAAGTTTAAAGTGATAAATATGCCAAGTATAAAGAGAGGAAAAATCTAAGAAAAATATATGTCTAAAAAACCCAAATATATATATATATATATATGAAATATTCATTTGCACTTGGTGCTTTATTTGTATGCATAATGTATTTCTGTATTGACTCTTTGATGCTTTTCATAGTCAGCACAAATAGGATTAAATTTTTAATTAAATAAATCTTTTAGCTCTTATTATGGCTGTGAACTGCAAAGTTTGTCTTGTTTGTCAACAGTTTATTTTCAAATAGGTTGAGAGTTTGAAAGCTTGTTTTTTTGGAAGTGTTTTATATTAGCTTTTCTTTTATTGAATTTGCATCTATTTTAGCTTTTCACGAGTACTTTCCCCAATGCAAACATTAAAATAATAAAAAAAAAATTAATTTATTTTTCATTTAAAAACACCACAAATTAACACTTCCTCAAATCATATAATAAACCAAAAAAATCTCAAAATCATCTAAATAAATGAAAATTAATAAAATTAAAATTCTTTAAAAGAAGCCTGATCTCCTTTCTCAAAGATGTTTAAAGAAAACAATCACCACTATTAAATTTTTATCATTAAATGAAATACTAAAAACGACAAGTATCATCTCTAAAAAGTGGCTCCAACAACTAAATTCTTTCTAATAACTAATAAATAAATAAAATAAATTTTTGGATTAAAATAAAAATTGTCATGAATTTAGTGTGAGGCAAGTAATTATTTTTCAATTTGGTCCATGGACTTTAATTTATTGCAATGTTTCCTTAAACCAGCCCTAAACTATAATATTTATTCAATTAAGCCCCTGATTTCATTAATTAATTAAATCAAAGTTTAATTAAGTCCCCAAACTTATTAATTCTTTTATTAAGCTCCTGATTTTCATAATTTAACTAATTCAAAGTTTAGTTAAGTCCCCAAACTTACCAATTTTTAAAATGTTTTTGTCCAAGTTGACTCCCAAATTTAATAATTCTATTCTCAAACTTTCAATTTGTGTTGCCTCAACCCAATTCTCAAATATATATTTTTTATTCATTCATTTTTTATTTTTTATTATACATTTTTTAATTCAAAAATTGGGTTATGACATTTACAATTTGAAATTCCTTAATAATGTTTCTTGAAGGGATGGCTTTAAAAATGTTTAATTCATATTGGGTATAAATAGAGACTTTTTTTAATATTTTATTTTCCTTATAATTAAGAGTTTATTATAATTTAATTAAGAATCTTACGATTGATAAAATGTGATGTATAAACTACGTGCATATCCATATGATTATACATGCATTGTTTAGCGCATGAGAGCATCGAGATAGAAGTTGTTTTGTATTTAACAGAGATTATTAGCAAAAGTGGGCAAGTTTATCCATATAATCTTACTATAGTCCTTATCTATTCTTGGTTATAATTATTACAATTTTAGTTTCTCTCTTCAAATTAGGATTTTGTTGAAACTTTATTGGCATTGCCTTTACATATCCAAGAGGAGGGGTGTGTCTAAGGCAACTATCCAAATTAAGCGACTGTCGAGAGCATTGCCGTTATGTAATATTGTTTGTGTTTCTTAGTTTTGGCATTGTTTAGCGCATGAGAGCATTAACATAGAAAATGTTTTGAGTTTAACAGATTATTATTAGAAATGAGCAAGTTTATCCATGTAATTTTATTTTAGTTTCTATTTGTTTAGCAAAAAACTATTCAAAGTGACTGTCAAGAGCAATAGAGAGCATTGCCTTTGTGTAATGTTGTTTATGTTTCTTAGTTTTATTAATTTGTTTTCATTCCCTTCATGTATTTATTTGGCAGGATTTGATTCTTCGTATACCATATCTTCGGATGCACTAAGCATTCTCATAGTTTTGCTCATTACGCTACTTGTGTTCATCGGTAAGTGTTCTCTTTTGCTTTCTTGGAATAACTGTGAACCATTAAATGAATGTATATATTAAGGTGCAAAACCATTAAGGGCGATATTATCTCTAAAAGATAATATCAATTTTAGAGATACATATTTAATGGTTTCGTCATTTTTTGGCATTACTTTTTGCTTATTTTCATCATTTAAATTGTTAAAAATAAGTCTTCCAAATTTAAATCCCTCAATTCAATTTTAATTATTTATTTTCTTGCAACTGATGTCAATTTTTCCATTAAATATGGAGAAGTGTAAAAAATGTAGAAATGCAAGGTCAAATTTTACCGAAAATAAAAAAAAATTAGGGAAAAAAATCAAACTTAATATTTCTAAAACTCTTAGAAACAAATTAAATATTAGATTAAAATGAGACAAATAAATTTTAACCCTTCATTGAAATTTTAAAATGGACAATGAATGTATTAAGATGCAAAACCATCAAGTGTGATAGTATCTCTAAGTATTGGTACCTCAATGGTTTCATCTATTATCTTTTCCTTATCTAAACAAAATATCAATTAAAAATAAAAGAATAAATTGAATGAAATAGAGTATTTAAAAAGTTATTAAATATTAAAAAATAAAAAATGTAAATAAATAAGAATGACTTAACATATTTTATTTTTCTCTTTTATGACAAAATAATATTTTTTAATTCAAATAAAAAAGAATTACTCCATGGTGTTTTTTTTTTAATGGTTTGTCAATTTCATTTTTCAATCTAATTTTTTAATTCAAATTTATTTGAATTTTCAAAATTTTTATTTTTATTTTTTTCTAATATTTCTCAATCGTTGACTTTATACAATTTTTTAATTGTTCTTTTTTTTTTTAAATTATGACTTTATACAATTTTTTAATTGTTCTTTTGTTTTTTTTTTAAATTAGAGGTGTAAAATTCTATATTCTTTGTATGCGTTGACATTTAATGGAAGTATTGATCAAATCACAATAGAGGGATCATATTAAAATATATCTAGAGTAAAGGGACTATATGAATAAAAAAATAATATTAAAAATTATCAAGAATAGAGGTGTGAAATATACAATTATTTCATTGTTTATTAAAGGTCTTAGTTTAATTTAAAATTACAGGATTATGATGAAATTAAAAGGAATGAATTAAAGTTTTAGGACTCATTTTAATGACTTTTCGAATAAATAAAGAGAGATATTTATAAGGTAATGAATAAAATTACAAAATTTGAAAACAATATATATAGGCAAGAAAAACTTGATATATATATTTTTAATGTTTTTATGTTTTGAATTTTCTCTAAAATCAATAAAATCTTAGTTAAATTTTATTTGGTGATAAGAATTTAAATTTTTTTTAAAAAAATTAATGATTATATGGATACATGTTTGAATTAAGAATCACAATTCTATTTATAAAAAAAGTATTTACATGGCAATCTAATAGCAAATAATATATTTGCATAATTGATGAATGTTCTTATAATGTCTATATGCAGGGATATATCATATATTATTACTCCTTTGTGGGCTCCCATGTCTCATAACCTTATTGATCTACACTCCTTTGTGGGCTCCCATGTCTCATAACCTTATTGATCTATAAATGGCGAAGAAGGCATTTATCGATGTATGGTAACATTGAAGAATTCTTGCAAAGTCATGATCATAATCTCACACTTATAAGGTACTCTTACTCGGAGATTAAGAAGATAACTCACGGATTCAATGACAAGTTAGGTGAAGGAGGTTATGGCTCGGTGTATAAAGGAAAGCTTCGTAGTGGCCGTTTTGCGGCTATAAAAATTTTACGCAAAGAAAAGGCTAATGGACAAGACTTTATCAATGAAGTTGCCACCATTGGAAGAATTCATCATTGCAATGTGGTGCAACTCATAGGCTTTACTGTTGAGGGCTCAAAGCGTGCCCTTATATATGACTTCATGCCTAATGGATCTCTTGAAAAGTATATCTTTTCTAGGCAAGGAAGCATACCACTCAGCAACCAGAAAATATATGAAATTTCTCTTGGGGTGGCTCTTGGCATTGAATATCTACATGAAGGTTGTGACATGCAGATTTTGCATTTTGACATCAAGCCTCACAACATTCTTCTCGATGAAAATTTCACTCCAAAAATCTCAGATTTTGGACTTGCAAAATTGTATCCAACTAATAATAGCATTGTGTCCCTTACTATGGCTAGAGGAACGATAGGATACATGGCTCCTGAGTTATTTTACAAAAGTATCGGAGGCGTCTCTTACAAAGCCGATGTCTATAGTTTTGGGATGTTATTGATGGAAATGGTTGGTAGAAGAAAAAATCTAAATACATTGGCAAATCATTCAAGTCAGATGTACTTCCCTTTATGGATTTATGACCAGGTTAATGAAGGAAGGGATATACTTGAAGATCAAGCGACAGAGCAGGAAAAGAACACAATAAAAAAGATGACTATAGCGGCATTATGGTGCATACAACTAAAGCCTATTGATCGTCCCTCAATGCACAGAGTTGTACAGATGCTTCAAGCAAATATTGAATCTCTACAAATGCCTCCTAAGCCTTTTCTCGTTCCACAACAGACATCAAATGATGATAGGATCAATATGGCTAATCCAACAAGTTTAAGAGATTCGTCAAATGTTTGTAGTATCAATTCTTCATATCAATTTGGTCATTGATAGAAAATTAGAAATACTCTTGTATGTTTGTTTATTTAAGTAATATGTTAATTTTGTATGCCTTAACTATCTGAATTTTGATGATAATCTTGTTTGTTAAAAATTGCAATTAACTAGCTTACAAAGCATCCAATATACACTAGTCATGGATTGTTCTCACATTAAAATATGAATTTCTAAAATTACCTAATGTTTGTGCCATTATAACATTCATTTCTTTTATTTTATTAAAAATACTTGTTGGGTGTGTTTTTTAGGAAAATTTTCTAAACTTGTGAAATGAAGTTGCTTTGTATAGTTATTAAAAACTTTAACTGGTCTTTAGAGATCTATGATAAGAGATATGTTATGTCTAAGAAAAGATAATATCATCAAACATCCTATTTGAGATAGATTGCATGGTTATTCTTGTGTTAATTGTTAATAATTTGTTATGCTATACTATTATGATTTATTTATAAGGTAATGGTGAGTTCATCACAATAGACTAAACTCTTGGTCGAGAGTTCAACCTAACCATTTTAAAATCTAGCTGGTTAATTTTGTCACTTTGAATTACTTAATGAATTGATAATTCTAAATTGATCAACCTAAATCATAACTCAAGTTATATCTATGAAGATACTAGTGGGCCTATATTAAGCTTAATGAACCCAACTTAGATCAATACTTCTAACTCTAATGTAATGTCAATAAGTATGAGAAACAGATTATACTTCTCTTAACATGTAAAGTAATGGCTTCTCATGTTATACTTCTCTTAACATGTAAAGTAATGGCTTGCTGTGAGTACATTTATTTTAAACATCAAAAGTAAAGAATAAAAAAAAAAAAAATTATATGAGATAAAAAAGATCAAAGCTTGTTTTTTTAAAATTTGGATATATCGCTGTAATAAGCCTTTTGATTTTAACAAAAACTTAATATGATTAATAAACTTGTTATTAAATCTAAATATGTATGCATAAACATTTGTTTTAAAAAAATAACATAAGAACATTTTTATTCAGATGCAAATACAATTTTTTTTTAAATTATATTTCTATACTAAGACGAGTATTTTTATAGAATACTAAAATATGAAAAATATTTTTTTGCCTTTTTTTTAACAAAAAAATTTGGAAGAAAAATGCTTCTTTTTTTTTTACAATGATAGAATATAAAAAAATGAATTTTTTTTGGAAGACTTGTCAAATGCACGCAAAATAAAAATTAACATGAAATTTGATGTTATTTCTTTTTCCTTTTTTTTTCCTCTTGAACATGAATATGCTGGACCTTAACCCGTAAAACCCATAAATACAGTCCAAAACAAACCGGACCAAATATTAAAAACCATAGTCGAAAACTCATCAATATTTATCAAGAAAAGTCTAAGCCCAGCCTAGTGTAAATTGAAACCTAAAAGTACTAACCCACAGCCCCGTTACCTGGCCCATAGACCATGACACGCGGCCCAAGGTCCAAGCCGAACAATCCAAAAGAAGACCCACATTAGCCCATTGTCATACAAAACCTAAAGAAATCACATTACCTGGCCCATAGCCCATCACAGGCGGCCCCATATTTATCAACCTGTTTTTATGAGCCCGAGATTATCCATGTGTTAGTTGGTTTACTGAGGAAAAGTCCTCATAATGTTAATGCAAGCTTTTTACACAGAGAATTTTGATTTGAGTGAAGCTGGTTTCACCAGGATCAATCGAATTGGAACTTCTTCTAAACATCTCTTCAAAAAGAAATCAATTCCATTCTCTCGTTATTCTTCTTTTTATACAAACAAAAACACCCATAAGTGGAATGAATTCATGGGAGCAAGCTTAGGTGTTAAGAACAGAAGAAAGGGACGTACCTGGAAAGGTGATGGTACTGCTCTTGAAGAAAAGGAAAAATATTTGTTTCACCAATAAAATCCACAAGAGACCAGCAATAGCTGTTAATGCCAGCTCTCAATTTTTTTCAACTCCAACCCTTTTTTTGGTGGCTGGAAGTGGCCTTTTATAGGAGAATATCAATCCTTCTATCAGTTCTATGAAAGAAAACAATCACCGACTCCATAAAAACTGAATCCTTGAAAATTGCCCTGATTAATATGGAATGGAAACAGGCTTAAGTGCTACTCACCAGCCCCTTTTGCTTGATTCGTCAAGGAGAGAATTAGGTGATGTGTTGGAAATTAGCAACATGTGATCTTCATTCGCGGGTGATCAATTAAAAACTGTGATTGGGGCAAAACATGGACAGAAAGTCAGTCTTTCCATATATGTTCGCAAACCCAGATTTTATGCTAATTTAATATGCAAGGTACCAATTTTAGTCGAAAGAAGAAAGTAGTCTGTTTTATGCCAACCTCGTGATTGTGTATTCAAGTAATCTTTAATTAAAATTGAGATTTGATGTCAAAAAATCAAAATAGATTTGACACAGTAAAATCTTGTTTTAGAACACTATTATTATTAGAATAAAGATTGAATAACACTACAAAACTATTTAATATTTGATAAGTTAAATTTAGTTTGTTCAAAGAATAAAAAAATACAAGAATTTAAAATTAAAAAATTTAAAAGTATTATTCATTAATAACTGTCAAAATTTATGTTATATATATTTAAATAGTTTTGAAAAAATAATCCTAATGGATCTATTATTATAGACTGAATTAATTCACTTACAAAAACGGATTTAAAACCTTTATTAATAAGCTCAAATTCTAATTTAAATAAATCTTGGATTCTAACTAAAAAAAATATCAATTAAGTACAAACAATCCTTGGGTTGTAACTAATAAAAATAAAAAATATAAATATAAATAAAACTCATAAATCATAAGTCTTTATCTGTCTAATTATCCTAAAAATCAATATTATTAAATACCATCAGTTTTTTTTCCTTGTGTAACTAGGATGAATAATAAATCCTTATAAGAAAATAATTTTAGAATATTAATGAATCCTTACCATACTTGAAAATTATGTTACAACTCATTAAACATCCTTATAAAACTAGAAAATTTTCAAAACAAGTTTTTTGTTCATAGAAAAAAAGTTTTTTGTCAAATAAAAAGTTTATAGATCAAAATAAAATAACTAATAAAATTTATACCGTATGTTCTGATTTATATTTTAAACCCTTATCAATTGAATACTAATTCACCTAAAAATTTACTTTAACATAAAAAATTATATTTAAAATTTTCTAATAAAATTTTAATTTAATTCAATAATTTAATATAAAATTATCTTTAATAATTTACGATACATTTCGAACCTGACCTTCCATGAATAAATATATATATTGAAGGAAGAGAGACTTTGAGACGCATCACGGGTGACCACAGGAGAGGTGGATGCATTGGAGTTTGAATGCCAAGTCTGTCAGAAAAAAAACAAGCACTCGTGATTGTGTATTCAAGTAATCTTTAGTTAAAATTGAGATTTGATGTCAAAAAGTCAAAATAGATTTGATACAATAAAATCTTGTTTCAGAACACTATTATTATTAGAATAAAGATCGAATAACACTATAAAATTATTTAATATTTGATAAGTTAAATTCAATTTGTTCAAAGAATAAAAAAATACAAGAATTTAAAAATTAAAAAATTAAAAAATTTAAAAAATTTATGTTATATGTATTTAAAGAGTTTTGAAAAATTAATCCTAATGGATCTATTATTATAGACTAAATTGATTCACTTACAAAAACGGACTTAAAACCTTTATTAATAAGCTCAAACTCTAATTTAAATAAGTCTTGGATTCTAACTAAAAAAATATCAATTAAGTACAAATAATCCTTGGGCTGTAACTAATAAAAATAAAACATAAAAATACAAATAAAACTCATAAATCATAAGTCTTTATCTGTCCAATTATTCTAATAATCAATGTTATTAAATACCATCAGTTTTTTTCCCTTGTGTAACTAGGATAAATAATAAATCATTGTAAGAAAATGATTTTAGAACATTAATGAATCCTTACCGTACTTGAAAATTATGTTACAACTCATTAAAGATCCTTATAAAACTAGAAAATTTTCAAAATAAGTTGTCAGATTTTTATAGAAAAAAGTTTTTTGTCAAATAAAAAGTTTATAGATCAAAATAAAATAACTAATAAAATTTATACCGTATGTTCTGATTTATATTTTAAATCCTTATCAATTGAATATTGATTCACCTAAAAATTTACTTTAACATGAAAAATTATATTTAAAATTTTCTAATAAAATTTTAATTTAATTCAATAATTTAATATAAAATTATCTTTAATAATTTACGATACATTTCGAACCTGACCTTCCATGAATAAATATATATATTGAAGGAAGAGAGACTTTGAGACGCATCACGGGTGACCACAGGAGAGGTGGATGCATTTAAAATACAACTATATATGCACGTCGTTTAAGGACCCCCCACAGGTTGGCCTCCTGGTATTTCCATTTGCAATTCTGGCCTTCTGGGGACGAAGAACTAGCTACCTACTGATTACTCATTTCAATGTTGACAACTATCCAACGATACATATTTAATCTACAAGTTGGCTTATTTTATACCGTATTGCATGTGGCAAAGGCCATAAAAGCAACGACTTTTGCTCGAAGAAATGGACGTGGGTAAGTGGTGAAGACTTGGGATTAAAAGGTTTGTTCCCTCTGTGATCTCAGGTTTGAGTTCTTGGTTGCTCATATGATGGTCACTGGAGGCTTACATGGTCGTTAACTTCAGAGCCCGTGGGATTAGTCGTGTTGCGCGCAAGCTAGCCCGGACACCCACGTTAATCTAAAAAAAAAAAGGATGTGTGTCTCTATATATATATATATTGCATGTTGACAGCTATCCTACTTATTTTATTTTCTCCCATTTAGGATTTTTGTCTAATAGACACACTCAAAATGCAATCATTTAGTGTTTGTTCGGTAATATAGTAATTTTTGCGTTATAATTGAAAAAAATATTATAAATTATAATTTAAAAACAATCCTGTGTTTTGATTAATCAGATGATTTTAGTGGGAAAACATGTTTAATAAATAAGCATGCAATTGGGTAGTGTGAAACCATTAATTACAAACAAGCATACGATCGCTAGCAAGTCAAGATTGAGACAACTACCTTGACAAAATTGATGCCATCTTTATTACTTTAGATTGGTTCAAAAATCCAGAAAGTTATCCGAGAATAAAAAATA